GACCAGACTATAATTGACCTCTAACCAGACTGTATGACCCCGTTTTGTCATTCCAGCAGCCCAGATTTGGTATCTAAGGGTACAAATACAAGCCAGTACGGGCAGAGAAGTAGTTCAAATCAACAATGTATTATTTTCTGATGAGCTGGCAACTCAGGTATTAACTATGGAGATTAGGCAGACCAGTTTGAAATGTTACCTGCTGATTCATCCTCTACTTCCACTCATATAAGCTGTTTTTGCAGTTTTATTTCATGCATGTGACAAACTATTTTTACAGAGGAAGTTGCATGGTGCTGCCACCAGTAAACAGGTAGGAATGCTGAGGCACACATGGGTTTTGTACTGCACCTCAACTCATTCACCCCTGAAATGTTATAATGAACTATTCCAATGTTTGAATTGGAAGAGTTCAAACGTGTCTCCAGGGGTGAATGAATTAACATGTCAATGTGTATAACGTTGGAGAGGACCTTACTTACTGTCCAATATGTCCTTAATCTCTTCACTTCATGTATGGCAATACAAACATTATAATTAACAGGTGATAGAACCAAGTATCTGAGTATGACTTGTCACAGAAATAAATTCCCGTCCCCGAATAATGCTCCATAACAAATGAAAAATCATACAATATAACAGTCAAATTACTATGTAAGAAATTCAAATAATTCCAATATAATATCATCTCCAGTACAAGTTTTTTTCCTGGCAATCTATTTTAAAATTGTATATTATATTATATAATATACTATTAACATATCATACAGGTATATATTCATACCATACAGGTATACTTATCATACAGTATCTATTCAATATACATGAATAATCAAACTGATTACACATCTACATGTATTCTTTTCATACAGTACATGTATCGTATAATAATTGTCATACAGATATACACACCATACATGTATACATGTTAGTCTTACAAGTATACTAATAATACTAATATACATGTTAGTAATACAGGTATACAAGTCAGTCATACAGGTAAACTTATCATACAGGTATACATACTATATATATGTCGGTCATACAGGTATACTACCATACATGTATACATACTATGGATGTCAGTCATACAGGTATACACACCATACATGTATACACACCATACAGGTATACACATACAGGTGTACACACCATACATGTGTACACCCCATACATGTATACGTACTAGGGATGTCAGTCATACAGGTAAACACACCATACATGTATACGTACTAGGGATGTCAGTCATACAGGTATACCCACCATACAGGTATACACATACAGGTGTACACACCATACATGTTTACACACCATACATGTGTACACACCATTCATGTGTACACACCATACATGTTTACACACCATACATGTGTACACCCCATACATGTGTACACACCAAACATGTATACACACCATACGGGTATACACACCATACATGAATACACACCATACAGGTATACACGCAATACAGGTATACACACCATAAATGTATACACACCATACAGGTATACACACCATACAGGTATACACACCATACATGTATACACACCATACAGGTATACACACAATACAGGTATACACACCATACAGGTGTACACACCATACAGGTATATACACCATACATGTATACACACCATACAGGTATTGTGGTCATACTTGTTACTAAATATCACACGTGCTGTTGTTTCCAGTGTTCCTACTGTGTAAAAATTTGGTTTTATACCCTTAAACATAATTTCTCCTATTAATATTCCTGAGTTTAATTAACATCGATTCCTGGATTTTCTCTGTGATATAAAGACTGCATTTTACTGTTACAAGTTTTATTTATTGTGTTGCTGTGTATATGTTGTTTCTGTCTTTTTCAAAAACACTGTTTGACTCATAAAATACGTTGCACATATTGAAATGTTTTCATTAATATTGTACTTGCTCTCTTGTGACATTTAAATTATGTTTTTAAACGTTTTGTTACAACACAACATTAAGTTATGTCCTGTATTGAGTATAAAGTAAACCAAATGATCTGAAACATTGTTGTAGGGATTACCTGTCGAGAAACAGCCTCCTGATTATAAAACAACTATGTATACCCATTATGATATATAAGTAAATGTAGGAAGTTCTGGTAATTCTTGATGTTAGAGTGATTCTATATTGTAATGTTAATGAAGAAAGATCTTATGATGATCTCTTAAGATTTGTAATTATCTGGTATATGGGATTATGAGACAAGTAGTATGGTAGTAGAACATATAAAGACAACATCCTTTTGGTCAGTGGTAAAACAGTAAGGTTAGAATGATTGCCCCTTCATTCTGTAAAGTAAAATCTGTCAAGAACTTCACAACTTCTGTTAATACTGTAAACCTGTCTTGAGAGAGCACCACTTTAGTCTGTACAGTAAAATTGGACTACTGGACAAGATTGCTGACACAGATCTGTCAGTGTAGTGGATCTTTTTAAAGAGACCACAGTCCTTTTGTCAGTACAGTAGATTCTGTTTTGAGAGACCAGCCATTTTGTCAGTACAGTTAAACCTTTCTAAAGAGACCAAAGCAATTTTGTCAGTACAGTAGATTCTGTTTTGAGAGACCAGCCATTTTGTCAGTACAGTTAAACCTTTCTAAAGAGACCAAAGCAATTTTGTCAGTACAGTAGATTCTGTTTTGAGAGAACAGCCATTTTGTCAGTACAGTAAAACCTTTCTAAAGAGACCAAAGCCATTTTGTCAGTACAGTAAAACCTTTCTAAAGAGACCAAAGCCCTTTTGTCAGTACAGTAAAACCTTTCTAAAGAGACCAAAGCCCTTTTGTCAGTACAGTAAAACCTTTCTAAAGAGACCACAGCCCTTTTGTCAGTACGGTATATTCTGTTTTGAGAGATCAGCCATTTTGTCAGTACAGTAAAACCTTTCTAAAAGAGACCACAGCCATTTTGTCAGTACAGTAAAACCTTTTAAAAGAGACCACAGCCATTTTGTCAGTACAGTAAAACCTTTCTAAAGAGACCACAGCCATTTTGTCAGTACAGTAAAACCTTTCTAAAGAGACCACAGCCATTTTGTCAGTACAGTAAAACCTTTCTAAAGAAACCAAAGAACTTTTGTCAGTACAGTGAAACCTTTCTAAAGAGACCACAGCCCTTTTGTCAGTACGGTATATTCTGTTTTGAGAGATCAGCCATTTTGTCAGTACAGTAAAACCTTTCTAAAAGAGACCAAAGCCCTTTTGTCAGTACAGTAGATTCTGTTTTAAGAGACCAGCCATTTTGTCAGTACAGTAAAACCTTTCTGAAGAGACCACCGCCATTTTGTCAGTACAGTAGATTCTGTTTTGAGAGACCAGCCAGTTTGTCAGTACAGTAACACCTTTCTAAAGAGACCACAGCCCTTTTGTCAGTACGGTAGATTCTGTTTTGAGAAACCAGCCATTTTGTCAGTACAGTAAAACCTTTCTAAAGAGACCACAGCCCTTTTCTATGTACAGTAGATTCTGTTTTGAGAGACCAGCCATTTTGTCAGTACAGTAAAACCTTTCTAAAGAGACCACAGCCCTTTTCTATGTACAGTAGATTCTGTTTTGAGAGACCAGCCATTTTGTCAGTACAGTAAAACCTTTCTAAAGAGACCACAGCCCTTTTCTATGTACAGTAGATTCTGTTTTGAGAGACCAGCCATTTTGTCAGTACAGTAAAACCTTTCTAAAGAGACCACAGCCCTTTTCTATGTACAGTAGATTCTGTTTTGAGAGACCAGCCATTTTATCAGCTCTTCTCCCATCAGACAAGATTCTATCTTGACAGATCATTCCTTTTTCACAATAATAAAACCTGTTTAGAGTGACCACCCCTTCTGACAATTCAGCAGGACCTGTAGAGTAACCATGCACTGTTCACTGCCAATGTTAACACTGTACACAGAACCATTGGAAATACTACCCAGTGTCAAACAAGGTTATACACACACCTGATCACATATCAGGACGATTCCAATCTACAAATACTTATGTATACTCTGTACGCATAATATTTACATACATGACTTCAATGGGCTTAGATCTACTGTCCAGTGTTTATTTGACCAGCTACCCAATGGTCAGTTGAAACAACATACACCTCAATAAAGTGGCTTTCACATTCATATTAGTTTGTTTTTATAACAAAACTGTAAACCTTCTATTCATAAGATAATAATTACGTTTTGATCATATTATTTCATGATTTTAACTAACCCTTTTACTATCAGAGGACCCTGTGAAAGATTAGCTTTGCTAAACAGGTTTTTTATCTTCAATAAATAAAGTTTATCATTATTATTATTAATATAATTATACTTGGAGTGCTGCAGTGTTCCTAAGTATAGTATAACACCTTAAGTATATACTGTAGCTGGTCTAGGTACCATTTTTGTTAAACATGTACAGTATATATATATATTTATAAATATGAAATATAGGAGCTTAAATGAGTTTTCATTTCATATGAGATTTTATGAATTGAGTATTAAGAGTTTTTTTATTTTTGCGAGCAAAAGTTAAAACTTCAAGACAAGTTTCATAAAAGCTCATATGAAATGAAAACAAATTAAAGATACTTTTTATCACATAACTCAGAAAACTTACATTTTGACAGGTTTTAAAACCAAAATGTAGAGGGCTTAATCAAACGGAGACAGCCATTTTGTTGCGCCATTCACAATTTATGACGTCAGGTCATTGTCGATATTATGACGTCACAATTGATTTCTGACTGGCACACCCAATGAAAAACGCTCCAGGGTATATTACACTAGTGGCATATGTAACAATATTACACAGACAAATTCACCGGATAACAGGCCTATTATGTGATAAAATTAGATTAAAGTCTGTGTGACAGGAAAATTTAAAAAAAAATGAAAAATCATAAGAAGACTGATTCTCAAGGTCTTTCGTGGCTTAACAACTCTTCGGGGGACTTATGTATATATACCAATGTATACCCCAAAATTATTGTCTTACCTTCCAAATGAGGATTTTGAGAAGAGCGTCCACCTCTGGTCCATACTTCACAAGTGTGTTTGTCTGAAAGTTCAGGGAAAGTATTTTTATATATGGTATCAAACATTGGTCAATAAACTGAATGTTTATGTAAAATTAAGCAAACATTGATATAGATATAATATTCAGAAAATGAAGAAGGTATACCCCTGTAAGCGCCAAAAGCTGTAGGAATAATCTTTGATGCAGATTTTTTGCACTGTTACTAAATGTTCTTTCTTACAATCGTTCCAGTTTACTCCCTTCATACAGAGAATAGTCTTATGCTTCACTCAGTCTACATGCTTACATTACTCAGCCAACAGGCTAACCCCTTCACTCACCCTATAGTATAGGCTAACCCCTCACTCACCCTACAGGCTAACCCCTCACTCAGCCTACATGGCTAACCCCTTCGCTCACCCTACAGGCTAACCCCTCACTCACCCTACATGTCTAAACCCTTCACTCAACTTACAGACTAACCCCTTCACTCAGCATACAGGGCCTACCCCTTCACTCAGCCTACAGGGCTTACCCCTTCACTCAGCCTACAGGGCTAACCCCTTCACTCAACCCACAGGCTAACCCCTTCACTCAGCTTACAGGGCTAACCCCTTCACTCAACTTACAGACTAACCCCTTCACTCAGCATACAGGGCTTACCCCTTCACTCAGCCTACAGGGCTAACCCCTTCACTCACCCTACATGACTAACCCTTTCACTCAGCTTACAGACTAACCCCTTCACTCAGCTTACAGGGCTAACCCCTTCACTCAGCCTACAGGGCTAATCCCTTCACTCAACCCACAGGCTAACCCCTTCACTCACCCTACATGACTAACCCTTTCACTCAGCTTACAGACTAACCCCTTCACTCAGCTTACAGGGCTAACCTCGTCACTCAGCCTACAGGGCTAATCCCTTCACTCAACCCACAGGCTAACCCCTTCATTCAGCTTACAGAGCTAACCCCTTCACTCATGCTACAGGCCTCCACAAGCTCTCTCACTCAGGCTACAGGCTAACTCCTTCATCACTTTGCCTTCATACCACCCCCACTCTTACTTAACTTACAGGCTAACCCCTTCACTCAGCCTACAGGGCTAACCCCTTCACTCAGCCTACAGGCCAACTCCCTAACTCAACCTAAGGCTAACACCTTCACTCAGCCTACAGGGCTAACCCCTTCACTCAGCCTACAGGGCTAACCCCTTCACTCAGCTTACAGGCTAACCCCTTCACTCACCTTACAGGCTAACCCCTTCACTCAGCCTACAGGGCTAACCCTTTCACTCAGCCTACAGGGCTAACCCCTTCACTCACCTTACAGGCTTCCACAAGCTCTCTCACTCAGGCTACAGGCTAACTCCTTCATCACTTAGCCTTCATACCACCCCCACTCTTACTCAGCCTACAGGCTAACCCCTCACTCAGCCTACATGGCTAACCCCTTTACCCAGCCTACAGGCCAACTCCCTAACTCAACCTAAGGCTAACACCTTACTCAGCCTACAGGTTAACTTCCTCACTCACCCTACAGGCTTCATAAGCTCACTTACTCAGGCTACAGGCGAATCCCTATTCTAAGCTTACAGGCTAACTCCCTTACTCCGCAAACATGCTAACTCCCTTATATTTAACTCAGCCTACAAACTAACTCCTTCATTAAGCTGAGAGACTTACTCCCTCACTCAGCCTTCTGACAGATTCTTAAACAATGACAACAAGCTCGGACAGCAAGGAATTTGTTCAATATTTTAACTTTCTTTTATAAAAAGAAAAAGAAATAGTTTAATCATAAAATCCATTTATTACCTGATGGTATTTGAACAATTGCATCAACTGACTCTTGACAAGGGAGATAACTTCATTGTCAAGTTCTGCAGCATCCAGCTGAAACAATCAATAAAGCAAGCATTCATTAAATCAGTGAAGGGGAACAACTCTTTCTTTATATTCACTTGTTTCTCCATAAGCAGGGCTCTTCATGATCAGTGCTCGTAGATGTTTAAACAGGATTATTCCATGAATATTTCTAGCTTCAATTTCTTTAATTTTATCATTAAAACATTGTTGTAAGATACCTGGTAGCAAGTATTGAACTGGGTCACCTTACAATTTATTATTTTCTTATTCCTCTTTTATCCTTTTTACTGCAATTAGACATGAAGAACATTGGTGCCTCCTAAACATCTATTGACCTGTTTTATGTCCCAATTTATTTTGGCTTAAAAATGTGATGGGGACACATTTATTAAGGACAAAATTTAAATATATAAACTTAATTTCAGCCAGTCCCTGCATATATAACAACATTGTCTGTGATTCATGGGCAGTAATAATACGAAACTGTTATAACCCGGAGTTCCAATTCATATCAATGTAATTTTCAATATTTTGTGAACAATTGTAATAGTCCAATGTGTATCATATACAGAATTGCACAGATAGATCTAAGTATTTGTTATACAGTAAACGGTATGTTTGAACCAATCCGTATGTGTAGGGATTAATATAACAACTAATAACAGATGTGTCAATAACTATTTCTGGCAACAATCTTTCAATATTATCTGTCTATATCTACACAAAATAGACTTAGGCAGACATAATCTCTGTTTCATCCAAAAACAAATGTTATTTCAATGTTTCAAATATAATACAAGGCTGGGTGTTGATCTAAACCCTGGAAAAGTCTAAGATCACTCTATATACACTATACTCCTATAACATAAGAGGCTGCTGGTCGGCTTTTTTTCTTCTATCGGACATGATTTTGCCGACTGCGACGCCTGTCAAAAGTTTCTCGCCGTGTAAACCCCTAACACTGTTTGAGTACAGTATACACATGTACAGTAGGTCAAAACAACATACATACTGCAGCAAATTCGTCTTCGATGTGTTAGTACATACAAATACATGTAGTCCAATCTGTATCTTATATACTATTATGTATAAATAACCATGTCTCGAGCACAACACGTTATCAACCAGTAACATATATATCAAATTGTCATTACAATAAATGAATAACGGTTTCTAACAATAATGTCAACTTACAACACGTGTTTTATATGAAGCAGTTCCTTATACTGTTTTCGAGTATACGGAGTCATATTAATGCTTTGACAGTGCGTAATGTATTTACTATATAGCAAGGGGTTTATGCGGATCGATTCTAAAAACAAATACATTTCACACAGAGCTTACAAACCTGGCTGACGCGAAGGGCAGGAATGGGTGTCTCCTTCCTGGTAGTCGCCATATTTGTTTATCTACCGCGCCAAGTGCTCGTTTGTAAAAATATATGTGATTGGTCAATATCTTCATGCAGGTCTTGACACGTTTAAGCAGTGATAGCACCGGGCATAGTCCAAATAACTTATACGTGTATTTGATTAGATGTATTGTCTATATAATTTGGACGAAATATATAAAAATAATCATATACTTTCTTAATTACATATTTTTATATTTAAAACTAAATAAATTCGTTCGGACAAATAAGCCAATCAAATTAATCGTAACACAACACCTGTCATGCGCTCTTCAGTCTAGGAGGTGACATTATCTGTACGAACTTGGTGACGAGGAAAAAGCGTCTGCTATCCTCGGGGTGAGTAAATATTTTTAGAGATGGGGCATTTCAGCCCTTTAATTACATTGTTACAAGTCGCATTTTATCATGCTTGTGCAAATCTTACAAAATAACGATTTTTGTAATGAATTCGAGGTCAAAATTGCAAGTTTATGGGGTGATTTTAGGTGGCTTATTTGACGATAGGACAAACCTGGTCAGGTTTATCATTCGCACGGCCAGGTCCTTTACAATCGATCGAGGTCTATTGATCGAGTAAATTGGCATTTGCCAAATTTCAATAGCCTTATATTTGTTTTGTGTATTGCTATTCCGACTGATCTTTTGAGTTTATCAGACAATAGCACTATAAGACAAATATCGGGCAGATTATTTGTAGTCCTACTAGACCTACTGTATTTGGGCTACTGTAGAATTTTAGCTTATGTTGCAAAGGTGGTTCGACTTACCAACCTTATCAAATATTACTTTAACAAGTCCCCCCTTTTTACAGAAACATGTGCAGTTGTTGTAATATTTTAATTAATTAGTGCATGTTTCTGACCCTAAACCTATATATATGAACACTTATTTCGCGCTTTGTTCTGTGAATAACGCAAAGTTGTTTGGCAGACGTTAATTTAGATAGCTTAGTTCACACAAAAGACATGTTTTAAGTCAAATGCAGTGCTCATATAGCCCATTCATATGATCCTCATAATCCATGGTGTTATGCGAACAGCGAAATTGTCAGACGATTTAAATGTATATTGGGATTCTACCATCCTCATGAAACCATGTTGACTACCTAATCCGGATTTAAAGTGGTCTAGCTAATCGCGCATGCTGGTATTTCAGAATAACGAGTAAGTTTCAATACGGTCATAATAACCTTCTCCGAAGATAGGGAATTAACTGTTACCCAGCCTTATACATCGACGCTGTAATTTGTGTGCGGCTCACTAACATGACATCAGCTTGTTACATCAGTTTTTATTACAGTTTGTACAGAATCAAGTCGTATTATGCTGTACGTAGTAATGTAAAATAGTCAAATAAATAAATACACAAATAAGAATATATTAACAATGCGTTTCATACGAGTCGTACGAGGATTGACGTTGTTTGCAAGAATATTTCCACTACCAAAAGTGACTGCGATTTTTTTTATCGCGAGTTCACCGTTTCTTACCCAAGTGTTAATGTTCCGATATTGTCTGGATATTTAACAGGAGGATTTATCACTATTTAATCTAAATTGTCAAATTTAAATCCCAATAAATCCATGCTTTTAAATGTCTGTGTTTGGTAGATTTTTCTCGAAGTAGAGACCTTTGACCGCCGCACGGGTTTGTGAATGCAATACAGTGTCTTGCTTTAGCCAGCGCATTAGTCTTGTCAGCTACTATACCTACCCTGCAAGATTACATGATTTATTGGCGAGCCGTTCGACATGAATAACTCGCCAGAGACTTGATATTGAAAAGGCTATGTGTATTTTTATTTGTAATAGTTTGAAACACAGAACTTTCTTGAGTTTTTCTATTAATTAATAAAATACAAGTTTTATGTGAAAAGCATTCTTCTATTATCGTATTAATAAACTGTTAATACGGCACCAGTTGCTAATATTGTCTTGAATGGCTATGCATACGATATTCCCACGACACTGGTATACACAAGATTCAATACATTGGTCCCCGGATAAAACATTATCCACCATTTACTATTTTTTTCCAGAAATGTGATGTAAGACACTGTTAATAGTATCGTCAATGTTAGCAGGAACTTAGTCCACAGATTAATAACTCATCTCTGTCGTCATTATCTGTGACCCGTGTTTTTCAGCTAGTTCGACTCCGATTGTGTCCCCACACTAAAACCTATCCCGCCGTTGTTACGAATTCTGGCCAGCGCTTTGTTTTAGCTGGCTCAGTCACAAAGCTTCGGTTGAATAGATTCGCAAGCCATTGTAGAGATGTAGGGAAACGTGCCAAGTACGACTGGATCTGCAAATCAGCAGTTCTATTGTTTGTAGACGTTCTGTGAGTAGCATTTACACTACTTGGGGGGAAAAAATTTATGGTCAAATATTGGTTTCATTATTGAAACAAGCCACTACATTTTAAGGCTATGTAACTTATGAAGAAGTTTGGCAACTTTAACTTCCTTAGCTGCCGGAAGCATAACTAATTGTCCTTTCGATTTATAGTTTAGAACATTTACAGGCCAATGACCCTATTACTGTCCAAAATATATATCCGTTGGACAATGAGTTACGCTTCCTACAGCTAAGTTTTCGTAAAGATGAGTTGGAAAGATAACTTAATTAAGGTCCAAGGCATCCTCGATATCCAGGGGTTACGCTCATTTTCGCTCTCTGCACCCCTGAATATGTCATAGCAAAACTGAACGCACGCGGCTAGCTATTTGATTGGTGTCAGGTGAAAAAACCTGACCAATTACTAGGCTTTGAAGATTACAGAAGAGCGACGCCTGACTTCAAAGCCAATAAGTTTTACCGTTACGCGACCGCGAGATTCTTTTGAAGTACATCAAAGGATCAAACTAGTGTACACTAGCCTTCAATTTTGCAATGACATGTTCCAGGGGTGCAGAGAGCGTAAGTGAGCGTATAACCCGTGGAGTGTCGAGGATGGTGTTCTCTTGGTTAAGTCATGTAAACATGTTATTGATCAGGCGACATTTAGTGACATTTTTTTATACAAGTAATCCATAACAAAAACGGTATACAACACATCCGTAGTTTCCTTTCAACTATACCGCTAGGGTATCCGACAGTTTTATGTGATCTATACAATCTCATAACGTTCTATTGAAATGGAAAGGTGTACTGTCTTTAATAGAGAAACCAAACACCTTTTGTAATGATCATGATATTGAGGAGAAATCATGATTGCACTTTCTGTGTATGACCGGCAGTTTAAAAGTATATTTAAACAAAAAAGTATTTTATCGTAGAAGCTCAGTTTACAGATTAATTTATACAGAAATCTATGTACTTACGCGCTTGCTACCCTCATGACAAATAGCTCGTGCATGCATCCCATAAGCGAAAATTGTTGTTAAGTTAATGAATTATTGTTTCCATTCGCCAATCTTGCCTATTCGATATGAAATTGTACTTATATTTTGTTATGTTTCATCGCCGTATTTGGTATGAAGTAACTAAAAATTATCAAATCTTTAGAACTCAGTGTAATACGAACGGTATACCCGGTTTAACATAATGTATGTATATTGTCTGAGTAAAACCAGTGTGTTATTTCAAAATAATTTGAATAATATCTCCATCTGTAGTCACAACTATCACGCTCTTTTAAGATTGAATTACGGTAGGCATGTGCGGTTGAAATAAAATACAGATAGAGGGGGAAAATGTGTTATCTGGAAAACAATGTCTCCCAAAGCAGGCGATGAGTGATCTATTGGCTAGAAAACAACCCGTTAGAGAGCACACAACGTAATAGTTACTTATAGTTTGGATGGGAAACCGAACAGAAGTTATTCCGTCTTTGTGTATTGCAATTGTTATTCTGAGAGTAACGTCATCAATTTTTGAGAAAACGACGTCATTTTCTCACACGAACCAATGACGTAACAATCAATACCTGCTCTCAAGAGAAGATAACTCTGCAATACACAAAGACGGAATAAGTTAGCCGGGAATAGGACGAATCACATCTGTCTAACTGAACCACACAGGGACACTAGTACCTACTAAGATAGAAGTGATTCGCGCAGAGTACATCTGGATCAGGCATATTTTGTCACCTGCAAATGCAGCGTTCTAAGGTTCTTTTCTCATATCATAAATATATTATAATTTTTGATAGAAGAGAAACGAACGGGAAGGTAAGCAGAAGGAAGCTTACTATAACGTTAACTTCTGTACAATACACACGGGTCTAATGGTAGTTTGTAAGCGGGTTTTAATTGCTGTTAATGATAACCGGCTTTTCATCGAGGGCTTTTCGTGGATGGCAGCGATGTTAACGTTTTGCCTATAAAATGCAATTGTTTCTAGTTAAATTAAGTTCAAATTTATTGAAATAAACATATTAAAATCTGTCCTTAAACAGTATTAAAATTTTCATTTTGTTTTACATTCATGAGCCAGTTTAAATAATGCAGTTTTGAAAAGCTTGAAGATCAAAGGGACGCCATTTTCCATGCCATTTTCTAGTCATTTTTTTTAACCAAGGGAAGTAACTCTAGCACACTTCGGTATTTTCTCATCAGCAATCGTTCATCGCAGGTTACATTGTGAATTGGGTATAAAACTCCATGGAGATATCATTACTGGACAAAAGATTCCACACATTTATTCCATAACGAGATTTGTTGCGCAAAATGTGATTAATTATTAAATCGGTAATAATAACTTTGATCGACCCAGGGCCGGTAGATCGTGACGGCACTGAATAGTGCAGCGATAATACGATTTTACACGGATGTCTTTTTATTACCTAACAATTAACATATGTCCCGGAATAAAAGACGTAATTCCAAGAAGCCTGGCCATGTAATCAATATATTAAACACATTGACAGCATTCTATACTATAGAGACTCGGCATATCTAATGCGAAAGGTTGTGTTTTTGTGCCATAAACTGCACTGATGACGGGCTATCTGAATATATGTAGATAAATGATTATTCATTAGAACTTTTTTTGTTAGAATTTC